CTTGGCAGACTGGGACCGTCGAAGCTTCGATGCGTTGCTTGATATGCTCGGTGACCTTCTCGAATCAACGGTGGCGTTCAGCAAGTGTACTCCAGGATCTGGGCCTTGGATGTCTTCGCGACCTTCTCGAATTGTCCTTGCCTCCGTGGTAAGCGTCCGTTTAGCAGCCCTTGCAATAATGACGATCCTCCTATGCTGGATCCAGAGTACCATTGCTATGTGTCTATCTCATGCTCAAGGCAGTGGAATGGGATCCGCTTTGGGTTTGCGATGCCTGCTTTTGTGAACTCCACACACAAGATATATAAACTCTCGTTGAGGGGCTCGTCTTGTACTGCTCTCTACCAACCCCCTTCCTTTCGACTAGCAAAACGTCCATTCATTTACCCGTTTCTGTTGAAACTTGTCCTTCTTTTCTTTTCATATTCCAAACAAGATGCTTTCTTTTACAGTTTTGCTGGCGACTTCCGCCTTGACGAGTGTCTCGCTTGCGAAGCCCATTCCTGTTCCCCAGGTTGAAATCAAGACAGGTTTCACCCTTGTGCAAAGTGTTGCAAAGCCATTCCAGGCTGGTCCTGTGGTTTTGCAAAGGGCCTACCTCAAATACAACAGTTCCGTGCCCGCCGATGTCAAGGCCGCAGCAGCAGGTGGCACTGTCACTGCCACTCCTGAACAATACGACGCCGAATACCTCTGCCCCGTCAGCATTGGAGGTCAAACGTTAAACCTCGACTTTGATACCGGGTCCTCAGATCTGTAAACAGCTCCCATTAGCTCTTCAGTTGGTGATACCGGTGGCTAATCTTGTCCAGGTGGGTTTTCTCGTCCGAGCTGTCCAGCTCCGAGCAATCTGGACACAGCATCTACGATCCGTCCAAGTCCAGCACGGCCAAGGAGCTTAGCGGAGCCACCTGGAAAATCTCCTACGGCGATGGATCGAGTGCGAGCGGGAATGTCTACACTGACACAGTCAATGTCGGTGGCACGACAGTCACCGGCCAAGCTGTCGAACTTGCCCAACAGATCAGTTCACAGTTTCAACAAGACACAAACAACGACGGTCTCCTCGGTCTGGCTTTCAGTTCCATCAACACGGGTCAGTGAGATGGCGAGCTATGCGATATTCGGTGCTAACACATATGTAGTCCAACCTCAGCAGCAAACCACCTTCTTCGACACTGCCATTTCTCAAGGAGTTCTTCAGCAGAACGTCTTCACGGCTGACTTGAAGAAAGGCGCCCCGGGATCCTACGACTTTGGCTTCATTGACGGCAGCAAATACACCGGTGACATCACCTATACACCCGTAGACAACTCCCAGGGCTTCTGGGAATTCACTGGTACAGGCTACCAGGTTGGCAACGGGAGATTCCAGTCTGCAAGCATTGATGCCATTGCTGACACCGGCACCACTCTCCTTCTCATGGACGATAACATTGTTTCGGCCTACTACGACCAAGTTGACGGCGCCCAGTATGACAATTCGCAGGGCGGCTATACTTTCCCGTGTTCTGCGGATCTCCCCGACTTCGCTCTCGGCATTGGCAGCTATCACGCTGTCATTCCTGGATCATTCATGAATTTCGCTCCTACCTCCGCCCCTTCCTCTTGTAAGTGAATCCCCTGGGACAAAACGCTGGCTTAGAGAGCTGACAAATCATCTGCTGCAGCTTGTTATGGTGGCCTTCAGAGCAACCAGGGCATTGGGCTGTCTATCTATGGTGACATTTTCCTCAAGGCCGTCTTCGCTGTCTTTGACAACGATAACATGCAATTTGGCGTTGCGGCGAAGAACTTGTAAAGGGGTGAATGACGGATGGTGGACTCTTCTAGAGTCTGGAGAATACGCTGATTATTCCTAACGCATTGGGGGTTCAATATACGAGCATTTCGAGGTACATTTAGACCTGTCATAAATATACGGAGTAGTATTGTACAAATCGGGTACCTGGCGAGGCTATTACCTACTAGTACCCAGTATTTCGAGCTTGATTTCATGCGTGGTGGTTCGTGCTGTCAATTGACGTCACCGGAGCCCCGGATCTGGCGACTTGTCTGAGGGACCAATCATGTCATGGCCGCGTAGCACTCACCTGAATGCCAAATGCTCGCACATTGTTTCTCGCAACTCGTCCTTGTCCTCATCCCCAGATTCCTTTCTCTCGCTCTTGTGTCGACACGCGGACTGGTGCCGCCTACACATGTATTGATTGATGCTCCGGCGAGGCCACTCGGACTTCGCTTGGTTTCGTGGGCGCGCTCAGTCGCTTCAAAGCACTCACTCTCCGCCTACACTGAGATGGCCTCTACTGCAGTGGAGGGACAAACCCCGAATCCGGAGCCATCCCAGCCAGAAGAACGTGCTGAGCACAACCTCCCTCCCAGATCCTATGCAGATGCCGTCAGTAATGGCCCGCAAGAGAATGACCAGATCGAAGGCCGCATTGGAGTCGGGTCTGGTGCAAAGGAACACGCCGCAGTTAATGGCTCTGTCCAGCCCCCACCACGGACGGTCAATGGCCAAAACCCGAAACAGCCAGATGAAGAGAAGGTCGTTTATGAGAAGCATGTGAATCACGCCGGAGAGATTTTGACAAGCATCAAACCCAGCGCCGGCTATGAAGACTCTCTCAAGCACAATGGAAAAACTGCGCCGCGAGAGAAGAAACACAATCGACCGCCCAAGAGGCAGGATGAACTTGCAAGTGGCCGAAGAGCTGGCGCTGGTTGGGAGACTTCTGCGTATGCACCTTGTCGATGACTGCAATTGTGGCTAACAGTCTTGCAACAGGATCCGGTGGGCACCACTCAACGTGCCCTTGCAGCGGAGGCTTCAAACTCTAGCCGTGCTGTGGCACACTACCACCATCCCTCTGTTTCTCTCCACGTTCTTCCTCCTCTGCGCAATCCCTCTTACCTGGCCCCTCCTGATCCCGTATCTCATCTACACCCTCGTCATCAGCGAAGAAGCCACCAACGGCACCCTTTCCAGAAGATCACAATGGATGCGCGGTTCGAAATTCTGGTCCCTATTCGCATCCTACTTCCCTGCTCGCTTGCATCGCACCATCGAGCTTGAACCTACGAGGAAATACATTTTTGGATACCATCCGCACGGAATTATTTCGCATGGCGCATTTGCCGCCTTTGCCACTGAAGCCTTGGGATTTTCAGACCTGTACCCCGGCATTACGAATACCTTGTTGACGCTGGACACGAATTTCCGAGTTCCGTTTTATCGGGACTATGCCTTGGCCATGGGTTTGGCGTCTGTATCGCGCGAATCCATCGAAAACATCCTGTGCAAAGGAGGACTCAATGGTGAAGGCATGGGTCGGGCGGTCACCATTGTTATAGGGGGAGCTCGCGAATCTCTCGGTGCCAAGCCTCACTCGCTCCGCCTTGTCCTGAAAAGCAGAAAGGGCTTCATCAAATTAGCGATACGCACAGGGGCCGACCTTGTCCCCGTCCTGGCCTTTGGCGAGAACGAACTCTACGATGTAATTGACAGCGTCCAACACCCGTGGATCCACAAATCCCAAATGCTTATCAAAAAGCTCATGGGCTTCACCGTCCCATTGTTCCATGCAAGAGGAATATTCAACTATGACGTGGGATTGCTGCCATACAGGAGGGCAGTTAACGTCGTGGTGGGGCGACCGATACGGGTCGTGCAGCAGGGGACCAAGGATAATAACGTTGATGACAAGTATTTAGATCAGGTGCACAAGGAGTATGTGGCAGAGTTGGTCAGGCTGTGGGATGGATACAAGGACCTTTTTGCACAGGATCGACACGGTGAGTTGGAGATTGTGGATTAGAAAAGAAAACGAGGGAAGAGCATTATGTTAAAGAGAAAGGAGGGTGACGGCGAGCACCTGATTCTACGTCTTAAAACCTATGGTTATGGCTTGAGGAACGAATCTTGTATATCTTGTATCTTGTATCTTTATCATTACATAGGCGATAACGTCGAAAAGACTCATGGGGAAGATGTCCTTCTGGTCAATGAATGACGGCGCCTGTACAAAATCTAACGAGCTGGAGGAGGAACAATAGCATACATACATACATACTTAGAGAATTCGGCTAGGTCAGGTTGTGAATGTCTATCTGTCTCAGCGGTGTCGACGTCGCCGTCGTGTCGGATGGACCGTGGTCCCGACGGCTGGCTTGTGCTAGTGGTGGTTATGGCTGTGGCTGTGGCTGTGGCTGTCAAAATGAGATGTGTTGAAACCAGGTCGTAGGTCGGCGGGTGGCGGAAACACTATAGTGAGTTAGGTTTCCTGCGCGTCTGCAGCACCGTCGTACCCAAGTAGGCGCTTTTAGGGCATCGACGGGATTGTGAAAAGGACAAAATGAGGTGTGTTGAAACCAGACAGGTCGTAGGTCGTCAGGATCGTGGAAATAACCGAGTGTCACCAGCTTCAGCACGATCTTGCTTTTACGGGAGGGCATACAAGGACACCGACGTCTTGGACTCGTGAAAATGAGGTGTGTTAAATGGACTTGAAGGTGGTTGTCGGATCGCCAAAGTACCAAAGGTGAGTTGGTTGTCCGTCTTCAGCGCGGGTACTCTTCTTAGGTATTCATACTCAGACGGGATCGATAAAGTGAGGTGAGTTGAACAATGAACGCGGTCGGCGGATCGCGAACGTAACTGAGTTGCCCGTCTTCAGCGCTCTTGCTTGCTTTTCTCCAAATGCCTATGATATACCTAGGTAGGTAGTGCTTGCATTTCTTGCTTTCTACCTACTACTTCCTTGCTCGGTACCTCCCTAGCAACCAGCACGACGACGGACGACTCTACCTTTTCTCCCACGTCTCGCCTTTCCAGCTCTCATATCCCATAACCCACAAACCCCTGGATTTGAACTGGGCAGCGACGCAACGCAACGCGTTTCCCTACTGGCCTCTCCACTTCTCACATGCTTTGCTCCTTCACCTGAAGTCTCTTCACTGCGAGGCGAACCAAACTGCCCAACCACCACTGCTGAGCAATGTCTTCGAACCGACGCGGCGCGTTGAGGAACTCGGCTGCGCCGCCGGCGCTGGCGAGGGTCAGCACCAGGAGAGGAAAAGACAGTGGGGAGGAAGAAGAAGGAGGAGGAGGAGGAGGAGGAGGTTCGGAGATGGAAGTCGAGGTCGACGACGACGGCACGAGTCGGTTAAGGCGGAACGAGGAGAATTTGAAGAAGAGCATGGCTATCGATGTAAGTTCATGAATTGTGAGGAATTCTCGGCGGCGTTGGGACAAGGGCCCTTCTGGTTTCTCTTCCTCTTTTCTTTACGTCTTGCTCTGCTCCCATCCATGGGTACCTGCCACCTAATTCTCTCACATGCACCTTTATTACCGGCGTCTCACAGCTGATATGTGACACCCGGCTTCCAATTCCGCCTCGGCACGGATCTCTCTCGCTTCCAGCCTGCGGCAAACAACGATGGTGTTGTGCTGCACGGATATTGACTCCGTGTCCTCTAGGTTGGCCTCCGCAAAGGACAAAGACAAAAACGTCTGGAGAGGGAGTTTGAAAGTCAGTTCCGAGAGCTCGAGGCTCAGATTGACGAGAGGGTGGAGAAGCATGAGCAAGACGCGTGAGTCTCTTTGGGAACTTGCCCTTCCTTTTTCAGGGTTGTTACAATCAGCTCTGACTGACTCGGCTTCATGCCCACAGGAAGCGCATCCAAGACGATTTCGTGGCCAGACTGCTCGCCTTGATTGAGAGGAAGGCAGACGTTGAGAAACGAATCATCCATGCAGTCCAAGACCTCGCCACGGCGCATGAGACGATCAAGGAAGAGTTTGAAGCCATTCTGGAAGGGCGGCTGGTGGATGTCCTTGAGGCTATGAATGGCTTGCACGAAGCCCAGGAGAAGGCGAGTGCGAGGCCGTACTGAGAAGGCCTTCCTCGTCATGTCTCCTCCAAGGCAAACAAGACCTTGATGAAGAGACTACACCCTCGACAACCGACATAAACCTCTCCTTGTTGCGCCTCCTTCTCGAGATCCGACTCGGTCACAATATAACCTTGTTCGTCACCACAGCGGCAGCTCTTGGACCAGATAGTCTGAAACTCGTCATACTTTAGGTCTTCGAGATCATAGACCTCTACTCCAATGTGTGTGCCCTTCTCATCACTCTTACCTTTCCAGTCAAAGTTGACGCCGCGATCCAAGGTACGGTCATATTCTGCGCGCTTCGCTGGGTCGGATAGGACCTCGTACGCAACAACGATATCATCAATGGAGTAGACGGGTATTGGTGTTGAGGCACCATTGTTCCGCAGGCTCTTCAGGGAGGCATCCTTGGTGGTAGCGGGAGCTTTGTCTGGGTGATGTATGAGTAATGCGCGCCGGTATGCAGCCTTGACATCGTCCTTTGACAGGTGATGAGACTGTTCAGGATGGCGAGAGAGGTGGAGGACGTCGTAGTGCGTATGGGTTGGTGTTGCTGCTGGTTTTGCACCTGCGCTGGACATCAAGGATCTGTGGCAGCAAAGGCCGGTTGATAAATTTGTGATGAGAAAATGCTCGGAACCGCATGTAGGATTCCTTGCAGTTCCCCGCAACGCCACTCGAGCCATTGGCGGGCGATCATCCTGTGTTGATTGTCATTCTCCGTTCGGTGTCTCTCGAGTCTCCTTGTTTTCTCGGTTCTGCTTCACTGTTTGCTGACCATACAGCAGGGCGACCAAACAGAACTAACATCAAGGCCAGGTTCTGCTGGCAGATCATCCGTCGTCTTGAACTCTTTCGGAGGGTGGAGCGTCGTTTGGATCAGCTGTTTGGGTTCGCTTACTGAAGTCGGTCTTGCTTGCTGGCTTCTGCCGCGTGGAGTTCGACGTCATTGTCTGCTTCCTTCGTTTTCCCTTTCACCTGGTGCCACAATGCCCTGATTCAAGGTTTGCCGTGACAGCTGCGGGAGGAGATGATGTGAATATTTGACATACAGAGCCTCTTGGTCCTGACTGTCTGTCGTCTGTTCTTCTGGGGTGCTGAGACTGGTTCTCACAACATCTTGCCCGTCACCTTCAGGTAGGCAAGGTTCTTTTCATTTGCTTCGTGATCATCGAACAGCTCTTTCTCTCTCTCTCTCTCTCTGTGTGTGTGTGTGTGTGTCTTGTCTCTTATGGGCAAAACATGTCTGCTGCCGACGACTTCGACCCAGACTCCCAGCGCAGAATCTACCAGGCCCCTCACTCTGCCCGCCACCCCATCCCGACAATCCAGAAATACCGGGCCGAGCGGAATGAGTTGAACAACCAGCAGCAACAGGCTGAAGACGCCCAGCGTGACGAGACGGACGGTTCCACCGTCAAAAGAGCATACTATGCCGCCAAGGGCATCCTCCAGGGCGAGGATGAAGGGCCCAAGTCGACTCACGACCCCTACAGGACCCAAAATCGGAATGTTCAGATTGCAGGGGAACCGGGAGGAAGAGAAGAGCAAGAACAGCAACGTCATGGTGGAGAAGACGGACAGGATAAACAACATCAACAACAACAACAAAAAGAAGGTAAAGAGGATTCCAAGACAGATGAACCAGGTCAATCGGCTACCGAGGCTGTTGCAGGCCACCATGACCCTCGACAGAAGAGAAAGGACATGAAGCACAAGAAGCGCAGCGATGGCGGCAGAGAAGTCACAGACCCCGTCACCCACTTGCCCATCATCATTCGAGACTCGACCCGCAAGGATCTCAAGTCCGCCGAGGAGAACGTCCCCGCGGCCGGAACTCATTTCAGAACTAAAACTGGACCCAGTGGTGCCAGGAAATCGAGCCAAGAACTTAACCAAGAGCGCGATGAGGTTCAGCGACGTCTACACGGTATGCAGAAGTTGTTCCCGCCCCCGAAATTCGACGACTTGAAAAATGAATTAGCCCGGACGTATGAGCGTGCCATCACGATAGGCCTAGTGAGCGTGCTGGGGCTATGGCTGCTGGCAGAAGCTGGTACTCGGGTGTGGGGTGTGAGTCTCTACGAAGAAGGGCCGGGCTTGCAATCGAGACTCTCCGCCGCCGCCTTCATCTTCATCCCAGGCGCCATTGCAGCCTGTGTAATACTCGTGGTCAGAGATTGGCTCGGTAAGAAAGTGAACACAATCTGTAAGGACGAGGTTTGGGATGCCGCGCGCCAGGAAGAGCTTCACACAACTCAAGCTGAAGATATGACCCCAGAATCGGTCGCTTGGTTAAACAATCTCTTGTCTGCCGTCTGGCCCCTTATCAATCCGGACCTGTTCACGTCTATATCAGATATGTTAGAGGATGTCATGCAGGCATCTCTCCCCAAAGTGGTGCGGATGGTCAGCGTCGATGATCTGGGCCAAGGCGGCGAAGCATTTCGCATTCTAGGGATCAACTGGCTGCCCACAGGTGCAGCGAGCCGATCTGTAGGCGCGGAGGGGAAATTGAAGAAAGCTGGAGACGAAGAGAGCAGTGATCGGACGGCGTCTGGGGAGGGACAGATGGAGAATGGCGCCGAAGACGAGGATAAGAGCAAGCCTGCTGACAGTGGTGAAAACAAACAAAAGGAACAGGACCAGCAAGCAATCCGTGAGGGCATGGAGGCCGAACAGGGCGACTTTGTCAACCTGGAGCTCGCATTTGCCTATCGAGCCCGATCATCCGGCAAATCTCTACAAGCGAAGGCGAAGAACGCCCATCTCTACCTCAAATTCTACCTGCCGGGAGGCATCGCTCTCCCAGTCTGGGTGGAGTTGCGCGGGATTATTGGCACGATGCGGCTTCGACTACAACTCACCCCTGATCCTCCATTCTTCAGCCTTTGCACCATGACGTTTATGGGTCAGCCGCAGGCGGACCTGTCCTGCGTGCCGTTATCCCGCCACGCACTCAACTTGATGGATGTGCCGCTTATCTCATCGTTTGTCCAGTCTTCGATCGACGCTGCATTGGCGGAGTACGTGGCACCCAAGAGTCTGACATTGGATCTCAAGGACATGCTTGTTGGCGATGATTTCAAGAAAGACACAGTCGCTCGAGGAGTCGTCATGATCTTTGTCAAGTCCGCCGAGGGTTTTAAGGAAGGCGACGGTGGTGTCGGTCCGTTCAAGGGCGCGAGCGACGCGTACATGACGGTTTCTTGGGGGAAGTTTGGCAAGCCTGCTGCCTCAACGAGGATCATTGTTGGCGATCAAGAACCAAACTGGTCAGAGTGGGCGCACATTTTGGTCACGCCTGAAGAGCTCAATGCAGATGAGAAGCTTCGACTTCAGCTCTGGGACTCTGACAAATATACTGCAGACGATGACCTTGGTCGCGTGGAGGTTGATCTCCGCGAATTGATGCATAGCTCCGAGACGAAGAACAGAATGTGTGATCGTGAAGATCGGTTTATGGGTTCAGAACCCGAAGAGGAGATGCCCGGCAGGCTTCAGTGGCGGGTGGGGTATTTCGCCAAAACCAAGATCACAGGGGAGCAACTTGCGAAACAGACTGCCGATCCAAATATCCGGACAACAGAGGACCTGGGGACGCAAGCCAGCGAGACGGCAGAGCGTAAGTTACGGGAAGCCATCGCGCATGACGAAAGCAAGGAAATCAAGAAACAGAATGAAGAAGACTACAAGGAGCGTGAAGATGCCTTGATTATTTCCAGCCCTCCGCCAGATGACTACGTCAGCGGCATATTCAGCATTCAAATTCACAACATCACCGGGCTGGAGGTGGAATCTCTGCAGAAGAGAGAGAAAAGCACGAGCGACGATGACCGCGAAGACGAGGCAGAGCAAAACGAGGACCTACCCAGTAGCTACGTGACCATTATCCTCAACCATCAAAAGATATATCGCACGAGAACCAAGCCGAAGAACTCGAAGCCGTTTTTCAATGCTGGCACGGAGCGGTTCGTCCCGGACTGGAAGACTGCAGAAGTCATGATTTCCGTCCGCGACGATCGTGAAAGGGAAGACGACGCGTTGCTGGGAATGATCTACCTCCCCTTGCGAAGAGTCTTTCAGGAAAGGAGCCAGGTCATGCAGACATATCCGCTTGTTGGTGGCATTGGCTACGGTCGTGCGCGCATCAGCATGGTTTGGCGTAGTGTGGAAGTGAAACTCCCAAGAGAATTGCTCGGTTGGAACTTTGGCACCTTGGAGATCAAATGCCCAGTCAGATCAAACGGGGCAAGGGTAAGCACGGATGAAGAGAAATCATTCGGTCAACATCGCATCAAATTAAGAACCAACCTGATGAGAGCTAAGATGTACCCCACTGGCTCGGGCGACGATGTGGAATGGAAACCCAAAGGCGACAAAGAGTCCGTCTTCCTCGCTGTTCGCAAACGCTATTCAAGCCCCTTGATCATCGAATGTCGCAAATCTCGCCTTGGTCCAGACTCCACCCCTGCCTTAGGAGTCTTCTGGCTCAAAGACATCCCAGACGAGGAAGAGAAAGCAATTGCCGTCAAGCTTTGGAAGGGCGACAAAGAGGCTGCACACCGCGCAACCACGAGCTACGGCTATTCCGGGTTGGAGACGAACGAACAACCGCTTGGAGAAATCGCGCTCACTGTCAAGTTTTGGAGAGGGCTCAGTGGGTATCATAAGAGATACGCGAATAAGGCTCGCAATGGGGACATGCGGCAAGTGATGGAGGTGTTGGACACTGCGAATGATGAAGGGCAGGTGGATCAATATAAAGGTGAATATAAAGGGAAAGGAGAGATCGACGAAGATGAAAGCAGTGACAATAGTACAGACGACGAAGACCAGAAGTCAAGCAAAGTAGACAAATCCCGCCGCAAACTCCGCCCGCACGCCAACGACGACACGTCGGCCTCGGACTCGGACTCTGGCACGACCTCTTCCACTTCCAACCCCTTGTTGAACGGCCCCGCGCGTCTCGTCTCAAAGCCTGTCGACGCAGTCAGCTCCACAGCCGCCAACCTCCTCGACGTCAGCGGACATAATGACCCCGACGACGGCTCGAGAGGGCTGAGGGCGCAGGTGAGGGACTACAAGGACCACCACCGGGAGCTGCATAGGAAGCACAGGGGGGTCATGCAGTGGAGGGGGGCGCGGACGATGGACTGGATGGTTGGCAAGGTGAAGAGAGTGGAGGGAGGAGTGGAGCGAGTTTTTGACAGGGACAAGGACGGCAGAGGGGGCGAGGGTGTTGAGACGGAGGTATGATATGATATCCCAGAAACGCTGCGTTCTCGATGCTAGAGCGAAAAATGGAAAAGGGCAATCCTTCTTCAGTTCGGTGGGTGATGAAGTAGGACGAAAATCCAATATCCGCCTCTCGGGACCAGAGAAAGAGCCACACACATAATATCTGTTATCCGTGGGATTATACGGGCACGCCTCCGGGAAAGCATACACAAGCAGCCAACCTGGACAGACTCGTGCGATACTGGTTGGGAAGCGAGGAGGGAAGCAACCATGTTCTCTTCTGTCCCGTGCTTTTCGGTTGTCGGAGTCTGGACGGTCTGTCGCTCAATCACTCGGTGGGCAATTACACGTGGGAAATACGTCAAAGCGAAAAAGAGTGATATGATGATACTAAACAACAATAGAAACGGGGGCTGAGTAACAACACAACACAACACAACACAACACAACACAACACAATAAGTTGACAAGGCGGGACTCATCGTGATTCGTGAGGTCGTCGTCTTCTTCTCCTTCCACGATAAGCATCTCGTATATAACATGTATTAAAAAAATCACCAGGGGGGCTGGTCTGAGCATATAGCCATCAACCCCCCCTACTGAGTCTTAATAGTTTCCCTCTCTTGGTATATATCCCTGAGTATTTGGGGTTTAAACATGTATATAAACGAAATGAGTAGATCTAGGTACTCTACTATACACGTACTCCTCTCTCTCTCTCTCTCTTTTAACACGGATATGTAATAACCAGGCAGACTTACCAAGTTACACTCTCGAAATGAAAACCGAAAACTGAAAAGAACTGGATTGGATTGGATTGGATTGAATGCCGACCTAGGTCCCGATGGAATCGGATTGAGACTGAAAATTGAAACGGTGAGTGTGGCGTGGTGTGGTGGGATGGACAGATGAGATGGGAAAGCATACCTCGTATTAGATAGAAAGAAGTCAGTCACAGATGGGTATTTTGTCTTTTTATAGCTTTGCACACGTCCTTATATATCCTTACTGGCACATATACTAGTAAACACTGGCACATCTTGCTCCCATACATAGTCTATATCTTGACATGGAAACACACCCAGAGACAAGAAGATCCCTACCTAGCTAGCCCATCGTGCGAAGCTGCCGCGTGGTGTCACAGGCCTCCTCCCAAATGGCTCGACCTAGTCCGTCACATTCGGGCCCGTCAAACCAGAGGAAGCGGCAACACATGTCCCTCACAACAGTCCACAAGGCCCGCGATTCTCCCTCTGTCTTGTCCTCCTCGGACGCACTTGGATTGTTGCAACTCCGAAGTCGATTTCTGCTGCCCCTGCTCGCTGAGTCCATGAGTGCCAGATTCGTGGTTTTGGTCCTAGCCTGCCTGATCATCTCGGCGAACCATGGCCTCAGACTGGTGTCTTTTGCGACTATCCCTCCTAGGACAGTACTCCAAAGCAACAGTTTCGAATGCGTGATCCAGAGGTCCATCACAACGCAGTCGTCCAACGCGAGCATGAGTTGTTGTGCCAATTTACCATGGATACCTGCGACGGTGGGCACGGGGAAGAGCACTAGAAGCGTGTATGCCATTGTCGATAGACGGACGAGGCTGTACAAAGACTGTAGTGGGGAGCAGAGAGTGGTCATGTTCGAGCTGCTGTTGTCATGCCGATGTGCAGCACTAGGGCGGAGGTCTGGAAGCGGGGGAGTTAAGGGGAGGGAGAGGAGGTCGTGGGTCATGAAGTTTCTCGCGCAGATGATTCGGTTCAGAGATGGCGCTGAAGGGTGTCCGGAAAGATATGCGTCAAGGCCGATAGTAATCAGGCGAGCGTTGTGAAGAACTTCCATCAAGGGACCAAAACCGGCGATGTTCCCAAGATCTTGGAAACCACTTGTCAAATTCTGGAGAGATGGGGCTTGAAGGGTGGACGGCTCAGACCATGTCGACATAATCAAGCTTGTTGGCGCCAGCAGCGGGAAGGCAGGTACGCGCATATCTTGGAAAGAATAGAAGGTGTCGGCCCTGTTGACTGTCAACTTATGACCAATTATGAGAGAGGCGGTCGTAGGGGATTGACATACAGCGCAAGGGCGTTCGCTAGTCCGGGCATTTTCACAGTATGGAGACCTCCTTTCTGATACACCAAGTGACAAATGGCCTTCAAATGTGCTGTTTCTTTTTGCATGCGGCCATAATATTGAAAGCTCTGGACCGACTGTAATGCGCTCAGATTCTCTTCTTGTGAGGGTGGATTTAATTGCTCGCCAGACCCATGGGACGCGAGCGTGATGATGGCAAGAAGAAGCTCGTCAGAAGCCGGGCCTTGGAGCTCTTGGATCTCGCGATTCAGCTCCCTAATGGCCTGAGTCTTGTATGACAAACGTAATGCACGATTGCGACCGGGGGCATCTGCTTCGCCTAGAAGATAGGCATTATGAGTTGCGCCTCTGCTTGTCTTTAGTATCGAAGAGCTGCGAAGAGCTGTATCGGGAAGCATGGAAACTCCACAGGGCAGGGATAATGCTTACGCGAAGATAATCGACCAGAATGCGGCGGGAGAATGCATAGCACATGCCAACAGGGCCGTTTTGATAGTTCCCTCGGAGAGCATGGTTCTGGAGGAGCTCATTATCCTCCATTGCTTTGAAACGGCGGCTGCTGAGGACAGAGACGCATTCACAGCTTCCGGTGCCACAGGATAGTGCGCTAGGCAGAGGGCAATGCCCGATTCAAGATTTGAGCGACCTGAAATACTTAATGAGGGATCTCCTACAACGTCTCAAGACGAACATGACTGAGAAGGAAGGTTTGAATGGGTACGCGAGTATATATAGAGGCTTACCATAATCCAAGATGTCAAGAGCATACGAAGGCACACCACTGGGAACACAGGCATTGAAGGGATCAAGTTTTCCAGTGCCAACGTCGAACACAGCGAACGTTCTGTCGTAGTCCTCGTCGGTTGGAAAGCTTTTGTTTCGAAGCAAAAGCGGTCGAGAAGAGGCACCAGGCTGAGGATCTGCACTGGAGCTGCGTGCATGGCGGTTATGTATGGCGTTTAGTTTAGCGAGACGTTCAAGCTTGGCTTTTCGATGGTATTCGCGGGCAGCGTGTTTCTGCTGAGAGATTGCAGATGCATCTGACGGCGGCTTTTTCGACTTGGAATGAGGTCTGTAGGGCACGAAGAAGACATTGGTGCCTCCGGCAGCCATGGTGTTGTCGACATTTGCAGATCAGGGCAGTAGCCCATCTTAAGAAGCGCAGATACGCCCCTAAGCAAGAAGGTCTCTGCCTCGCCTCGATTAGAGAAGAATCATACAAGAATTCCTAAAAGGCCCAACCAAGGGCAATGCAGAGGCACCTCGAGTTACCATAGGCTACATCTCTCTAGCATATGCGCGCCGATTCAGCTCGAGGTTGCGGATGCGTCATGCTGCAGCTGTAAGCGTAGTCGGGCGGGTGAAAAAGCTGTGCAGCTCATCCAACGGCCTGGAGCGGCTGAAGGGAGGGAGGAGCAAGGGCCAGAAGGGCATCATGGACGGCTAGGGCAGGAAGTGAACAGTGTGGGATGGCGGGATGGACGTTGGAGAGAGAGAGGAAGTATGAAGAAACGAGGAAATGCGCAGTGCTGATTCGGTGAAAAGAAATCCCGGGCCGCGCTGGGCTGAGCGGGTGAGGCGCTACTTGTGGGCGGCGAGGCGGGGCTGAAGCAACAACAAACCAACCTGCAGTTACGCAGCAGGGAACTAGGTACGAGAGCAAATCGCTTCTTCCCGAACTCTTGACCCGTATTGTGCTGACTGATGGCTTCTATTGTTGAAGTCTGAGCACTTTCCCTGATCGGAAACCGATTGTCTGGAGCCGTGACCGCCTCGCGACTTCAACTTGAGCCTCGTCAAACGCTATCCCTTCCCTCTCCTCCCTCCCCCTGTTTCTGGCCTGAAAAGTCAGAACCATGTCCAACTTATTAGTCCATATCGAGTCCACGGACCAATTCTCAGCCCTCCTGTCCTCATCCAAGATCGTTGTGGCCGACTTCTATGCCGACTGGTGCGGCCCTTGCAAGCAAATCGCCCCCATCTTCGAAAAGCTGGCGGAGCAACTGTCTCGGCCCAACCAGATCACCTTCGCAAAAATCGACACGGACAAACAGCAAGACATCTCACGGTCATATGGCATCCGCGCTCTGCCGACATTTGTGATCTTCAAGAATGCCCAAGCCGTCAAATTCATTCAAGGCGCAGATCGGGAGGGGCTGTCCAACGCGGTCAAGGACTTGGCCAACGAGGCGAACAAGATCGAAACAGGCGAGGGGAGTGGAAACTCCAGTGGTGACACGTGGCTGGGTGCAGATTTACCAAGAGGATACGGAGATGTGACTGCTCAGGTCGACGTCGTGGGGATGGAGCTACTGAACTGGGACTCCGAGCATGGAAATGCGAGAACGTTGATCAGTGGCAGCAAACCCAAAGGTGAGTTTTTGGCAGCTCTGTCGGTAGGCGTACAGACATTTTCTAATGCACGACCACCCTTAGGACAAGCAGAGGCCAAGTTAGATTGGGTCGAAAGTGACACGGACGAACAACTCATGCTCTACCTCCCCTTCATGTCTACGCTGAAGATTCACTCGTTACACCTCACATCGCTGCCAGGCAACACAGACGACGACGCATCCCCAAGCCGACCGAAGCTGGTCAAGATCTACACCAATAGACCTCGCATCCTCGGTTTCGATGAAGCAGAAGACACACAAGTAGCGCAAGAGATCACACTATCGGACAAAGATTGGGATGCAAAGACCGGCACCGCAAAGATTGAACTCCGCATTGTGAAATTCCAGAACGTGTACAGCCTGGTTTTGTTCGTGGTGGAGAGTGAAGGTGACAACGAGAAGGTCCGGATCGATCGTATCCGGGTCATTGGTGAGACGGGGGAGAAGAGAGATGGGAAGATTGAGAAGATTGCAGCAGACGATTGAGATACGAAGGGAGAAAGCAGCAGGTACCTCAGCACGCGATATGAGAGACGACCGCATTCAAGCTGGAGACAAAAATGAATCATAGATTGAGGGAAACAACGTCACAAACAAAAGAGCATAAAACCTAGGATGGGTTTCTCTTCAGCATTAGGCAAATGAAGATCAAGGCCTGTTGCGCAGCTCGAGGCTACGCCACGCCACTCTTGTTGAATCCATCCCGTGGTTTAGATCAACAGTCTTCTTGCCCTCAGACTTGCGCACCAGCAGCCGTCACGGCTTAAAAATAGCAGGTCTGTCCGACCCCACGCATACACAAGCGCAGGGACACTCAACGAGCCCAGACTCATCAGTCACTCAAATGGGTTTCTTCATCAAACTCGTCGAGGAGATCGGTATTTGCAATTAGGGTTGATTTGAGCTGCCACTGACACTTGGACTCGTTATGGGTATTCGAGAATATCGGCCAAGCAACACAGGGGTATTTGATAGTGGCAGCGCTGCACGATGAAGAGAAAAGAGAAGAGAAGAGAGAAGAGAGAAAGACTCTGGAAAAAAATATCGACGAGTTTCGATGCGAGCTAGCGTTGTGAGAGCTAGCCTGTTTGGGGACTAGCGAATATATGTCTTGGCGAAAACAAGAGCTTAATGTTTTTTTTCTCCTCGCCAGGAACTCTGGTTCGATTTTGACCTTGTCACGGCTTGTGATGAACTGTAACAGAAATTTATTGATAGGAAGAGAATGATTGCTTGCTCCTCCATCCAGACTCCGTCCGGGTGGAGGAAAAGCGAGCATGATCTCAAACATTGACTGATATTCTGAAGCCAGACCTGATTTTGTCTCCGCCACTTTGGTTGTGGTGGTTCTTTTGCAATTTCTGCCCGCTTTCAGCGGTAAAGGAGATTGTCGCGTGCGATATTGGCCAGGCAGGACATCGATGGGCTTTTCGACGGAAGGAAATGCCATGGACGGCACAGCAAGTGTTGGATTCCGCTCTACGAAGCCTCAAAAATATCGTCCGGCTCCCATGGTGCATTCGCTTCTTCGGATTTTGCGAACGATGTCGGTCCAGTTGGGAATCTGCGGCCGGGCCGGTTTCGTGCTGAGGATGAGTCACTGTACAGAGAACCTTGTGGGAGTGACTTCCTATCCTCGGCGTCACTTTGTCCTACCCAATTCGACCAAGTGATAATCCGGGCTGAAGGGTGCCGCCAGAGCTGTCATCCCACAATGTTATCAGAAGATTGCATTCACTGTGACTAAGACTGAGATCCATAGGCGTTTGCAGCTAACAAAACTCTGCATCCGGGGTCCGTGCTACAACATCAAAGAAGAACATTGCATTATATTATTGTGGAGTCTTCGCCAAAACGCACGTTCAACGTTGTCACAGGGGAGAAGGGACCTTCGTGGGCAGTTTCAGGCTTTCATTTCGACGATCATAGCCAGTGCGTCATCACTGCAACCAGTCTCGGATCGTCACTCTCCGAGTGTTCGAGTACTGTACGGCAAATTTACTGCCAGAAATTCCTGGCGAGCTGGCTATTTTCCTGGCGATTTCGCTGAGACCACCAAAGTTCTTGGAGGATTCTGAGAATTTCAGTGGAGCTACGCTGCTGTCGATCCCGCAGATTCTCGATCCAAGCACATTGGGGACCGCGTGAAGCGTACGAAACAGGTAAGGAGCTTGCGAGTCCTATGCACCCATTGTAGCAGTAATGCAGGATGTAATCGCTGTGGCCTGTCCAGGTCGAAATCGACTGATCGGTAATTCGAACCTGATGCGATTGATTAGGGTCATCACCGCCATTTCTTTTGACGAGATCATCAGTCTTCTTCTTGAAGATGACCCTAACAGAAATGAAACATCTCAAATCGATCGAGGACGTCATTGTCTAGGAGAGGTTGTCATCAGTTGGGCAAGACCTAGACAGGCACATCCCAACAGTTACATCCGATCAACATTGCCTAGATTCCGAAGTTGCTTCCGGTAGGGTAAAAGTCTTCAAGTCATCAGATCGACATATGCCCAAAGGATGCCCAAAGGATGAGAGGGTTCAAGGTTACCGATAATACTTATTTCGACTCGTCAGGTTTCAAGGGTGGTTAGCGAGATCGCAGTTCGAAGAGAAACAATACATTGCGACACACACGTGGAGATGCAGGGTTCGTCGCCCATGTTTGATTGCCTTTTTGCACAGCCTCACTTATCCCGGTAGTGAGTTCTTTCACTCTCGGGTTGGGGTCCATCTTGCACGAACCGGCATTTCACCACATTTCTATTATCGGCAGTAAGGTTTGGGTTCGCCCTGTCGGACCGCTGATCTCGCACGAACATGGTTCAGGGTCGATGGTTACAACCCTCACCCTGCTCTCATGTTGGACGCTTGGGGTCAACACTTCCACCTCCATCTCATGTTGGGCACATCTGCGGAGTTTGCTTCGAGATAATCGAATGGTGGCGTCTTCAGATCGACGAGCTCTACCAGAGGACAATCTTGTCACGAAATTCCCCGATCAACGCCAACCAAACGGGACGGAAAGTGCGCGTTACCTGGAACTTGCGACCTCTCTCTAGGAAAGGGACCTTGGCGATGATTGACTCTCCCCCAGAAATGATGCTCTACTTCTAGGAGAAGCACATGACGAGGTGCATGGCAGAAGGAGAAGTGCTATGAGAGTTTTTGTCGACGCCATATTGTGTCTCAGCAAGACGAACTCGTGAAGAGACTCCCCAATGGTATGATCTTCCTCGTACAGCGCCAGTTTGAAGGCTATCGGTTTTCACCTATTCCAGCAGAAGTGCCACCAGTGCCGCTCGAGGTCGCCCCAGCTCCTCTTCGGCTCGAGCAACCCGACAATCTGGGCTGGACAATTCTAAATGCTCACAAACTTGAATTTCGGCCTTGACGTGAAAGCCGAGGAGAAGGACGAGGCAAATATCGCGAAAACTTTTCGACCGTAACCGGTCTGACACGACTAGAATCATCGAAGAGGCGAAATTTAGACCAGCCAGAACCATGGCGAAGAGACGCTATGCCGTGATGCCAATATTCAAAGGCAGCTACCGAACAGACCACAACGTTGGACTGTGAAGGCAGGTGAAAGAGACTGCCAGACAGGGAATGGTGGTGATTAGGAAACCCATTAGACGAGACTAAGGTGTAGGTCCATTGCTCCTTCCCCGACGCCATCATTGATAAGAAGATAGAAGAGTGGATTTGCAATTTCCCCGGAAGCACTATGTCTTCCCTCCGCACAAAGTCTTGAGAAGGTTCCGCCTCCCACAGTCAAGAGCGAAATCCCTTTGGCATCAGCAATGGCTAATGATCCCTGCCCTACTGTATCCGAGAGAGGGCCAATTCTCCAAGTACCTACCTAAGCTCGCCCGTGCAGTCCGGTGAGGCCATCCAGCACCAAATTGAGAGGATTATTCAAGCCATAATACTTAGCGTCAAGATAACGAATTGAGGTTAGAAGCGACCAAGAACGTGGTAGAATTATTAGCTTTGCAGGAAGGGAAAAAAAAAAGAAAATTTTCGCCATTCGAAGAAACATGAAACAGTGAGGCATGGGGAGTCAATAGGGTGACAACGGCAGAGACATGTTGGAGCAGGATCGATCCGGCACAAGAGAGTGATGAGCACATGGCATTTCCGTATCGCCTCGAATCTGAAACGCGAGCTGCAGCTGCTTGGGCGAACAGAAGAAAAGGGATCTGACACTGATGGGCAGAGGCAAAAAAGAGTCCTCGTACCTGCATTCAGCGCGGACCTCCATTGGGCAGAAGAGAAAAAGTCGAGCACAATGTGCATGAAAAGGCCAGTGTTCCTGCGTCAGGCCCAGCTCGTTGCGGGTCTTCACGGTGCTTCTGGCGGCATTCGCGGGCTGATAGCGGGCTGGGTTGGGCAAAGATAGGCGTCAACTTGCCACGCTCTTTTCCGGCCCAAGACCATGGTCCTCTGTGGAATCGAATCAGCAGCGGGCGTTCTGGAAGCGCCCTAGGCCGATTCAGCTTAAGGTTGACGGCCGCAAAGCCGGGGGACCACTATCCATCGAGGGACCCGCGCGCGAAGGACGGCGCCTGCATCTTGGTGCCTGGGGGCTGTCGGCTTCAGGCAGGGGCAGGGGCCACCAGGGCTAAAAGCTAGTTCGCCCACCGTGGGATGATGCGCCGGGTCGCGGATGTGAGAAAAGCGCCCAGGGCCATCTGGGTCCTGGGGCGAGTGGATGTGCTCGGGTACCTGAGGGAAGGGTGGACGGTTCCTACGAGGAGACACCGTTTGGGATCTACTTGCCTTGCTTGCCCTAAGGAAGTAAGTACTTTACCTACTTAGCCCTCAGTGTGTGGTCCGTCCTTGTCAATAGCTTGGGTTCAGCAACTTCGCCATTGGTTTGCTGTCGAGACCGTTTCCTTGGAGGACCAGCGGCATGGAGGCAAAAGCAGCTGCCGCTTTTTCAATCCAAGGGTTCCCTTGAGGGTCGAGCCACCGCGTTCCGTTCAATTCAGAAGGCGTTGCAAGGTGTGGTGTGGATGGCGATCGATGACAAGGAACGAGTGACATTGATTCTTTGCCACTGCCGCTGTGGGTGGCTGGGAGTCGTTGCAGAATGATGCAAACAAGGGAGAAGCAAACAAGGCGAGATCAGACTCTGCACCGACTATTGGCGGAAGGTGGCCACAGTGGGAGAGACATCGACAGAGTTCTCTTTTGCACAGAAAGAATTCTCCATAGGTATCTCGTACTAGTCAGAGAACATACTTACTGGTAAGTAAAGAGATCCCAAAGGCAGATCCAGAGTCTTTTCCTATTGCTCGAAAGAACAACCCTGTTCTCCACGACCTTCCCGCTCCCAACTTTGCAGGCCTAGGACCCGGACATCAGCTAGAGATATTCCTATCGATACGTGTCCGCCAGAGGATGAAAAGGTCACCCCACCAGGTGGAAGAATCCAGACTAGAATGCTCCACGCTTTGCAGGCCTTTTGTTTCGGGCTTTTGAAACCCTTGAACCACCTTGCCATCGTACCGGGACGCGGACCCCCACTGGTACTATGCACTACGTACTACTCAGTCCCCAGGGTCGTCATACTCACTTGTAGACTTGTGAATTCGGTAGGCCACTAGCTATACTGTTGGTGGATCGTCCATGACTCGATGCAACAGAAGACGGAATATGGGTACGAATTGGAACTCACGAGCAATGCTGGGCAGCTCCCTCAGTCCACACAGGTCGACAACAGAGGTGCTTACTTACGGTAGGTAGGAAGGTGTCCTTACTTAGGCAAAGCCAACATCCCAACCGAGGCTACCCAAAACTCGTCTCTGCAGCTGGAAGAGATGAAACACGCGGTCACCTGTCTATACTCGCGGGAGTGGCGGGGAGAAGCAGCTTTGTCTGATCCGGCAGCCGAATACCGGGCCCTTGTAGTGCTTGGGCAGTGTTTTTTTTCTTTCTTATGCAACATCCCATCATCAGTGCTAACTTTGGTGTGGCTATTGGTAGCGAATGGCTCTCGCTCCGACTCTCTGAGGCCTTTTTTGATGCACGCATTTTGCATGTGAATGGCAAACATGGGAAGCCAATCAAGCCTGTGGTCTATTCACACCATGGCCCTACCAGGAACGCGAGCAGCAAACCCGTGTGAAAAGGTAAACCAGGCACGCGAAGCCAACGGCCAGTGAGCCTTCTTGTTGGAGCGGAGGCAACACACGCTCCTGTCACTGCTTGTCGTACCTGCATATGTAGGGACGGCAGTGGCTCTCGCAAAGTCTGAGACACGCAAGCCTCTGCACGACCTTGCCAACCTTACAAGGACGGTCTCGCGAAAGAGCACTGGCCACCAACTCCCGATTGTGATTCAAATCCAGCCAAAAGCCTAAACACACAACAGGAAAAGACAAGAAGGCAAAGTAGGGTGACGCTGTCACTGAACTGACGGCCACGAATTTCCACCGTCCATTCCAGGCGGCGAGGCAGATCAGTTGTTTGTACAAGAACACAAAGATCCAGCGCGGGCGTTTACGAGCAAAGCGGCCACGAGTGATTTTTTTTTCTGCTCAATAGTTGGTGCGTCCTGACCGATGTTGAGGATTCCCATGACGAGACTATGGGCAATATGGGCTTTTGAGGCCGCGGTCCAAGAATAGGTCAGACCTGGCCAGCCAGCGATTCGCTCCAGGTGGCCGTGGACGCAGCTTATCACCGACTGCTCTCCCACATCACGCCCATGATTGGCGTTGACATGCCAGCGACTCGCCCAGTCAGCATCACACGCTCTTGGTGCGAGCACTGAGTACTACGGGGCATATGCACAACAACACGTCTTGGATGTCCCAGACGGAAACTCACGTCGTTGATTCGAGCCCGATTTTACATTTTGGTTAACGACAGAACCTATCCAGGCACGTCATTTGCCCACCACAGCTTGTCTCGACCGTGTCCGGATACATGTCGCAAGCGAATGATCTCACGCAGGACATCTTTGCAATTGATCCCAAGAGGGTTGGTGTCGAACATCTCGGTGGCCTCGACAGGAAACCCCCAGGTTAGATAATCATTCGGCCAAGATGCTATACATACTCGTACGCATTTTTCCACCACTTGACGCCTCGAGTTCAAGCGCTGGTTTGTGATAGATCTGGCCTATTCCTCCAATGGCGGAGTCAAGGTCGTCAATCAGGTCATTTTCTCCCTTCATAGGATTACTCGCATAGGCAATAATCGAAGCCGCGAGCCAACTATCGGCCATGGGTTTACCCAGCCAAGATAACCACCACAATGGTCACCCGAATGGCCACGGTGCGTCATGGGCAGTGCCCACCCAAACAAGACGTGAGGTGGGAGATGCAGGTGCCTGTGCTGAGCAGTATGCAATTTCCCATGCATACGGATACTGCGTGATGGCCCCCGTCCTCCTCGGGCGCGGCGCTCAGCACAGCCCAGCCAACTGAACTGGGCCGGACTGTCTTCCTCGTGCCAGGCATCAAGCACAATCCAGGAACCAGGTCGCTGCTCTAAGAGTGCGGCTGGTCGAGTGGGCCATTTTAGTGGGTGATAGTCTTTGAGACGGACTGGGGGTTGGTGAGACCATGACCTCCACCCTCCGTCAAGTCACTGACATGGGTCGAACACGACGGTCCCGAAGCGCAGCGCCCGGTCCTGCAAGCCTCTTGAGGCCAGCAACCCATCGAACTATACTCCATCGAGGTGCAGGGCCCAAGTCACTGGTGGCCACCGGCCTCAGAACCTTCGGGCTATCCAGCGATCTCTCTTTATGCCTCGTTCTGGCACCCAGCGATCCCAGCTCTTGTCCTCTCCCTCTCGTTTCCTCATATCGAGGCAGTCGTTCATTTATCCCCCACGATCTACACTTTCTTTTACTTCTTGTTAAATCCTCTCCTTTGACCAGGCCTTTCCGGATCCTTGTTCAATACTCCTGTACAACACCTAGCTGTACACTCTATTGAACAATATCCAGTCCTTCCTTTTGAAAGCCTGTAGCAACAACCATTGTACCATATCCTCTAATCCCTTGCCTGCCTACAGATACGTCTCTTGTCATCACTTTTGACTTGACGCTTACCAGCATATCCTGCATTGTTATATGTATAGCTTAAGCTAGTGATCAGAGACAGAAAGGGACCCTCGGAGACGACGACATAGCCATTCATTGGACACATCAATTTTCTTTGTACCAACCTGTACTACAACCAGCTCGACCCTGCTATCAACATTGTTTGTGTTCTGATTCGAGGCTTCTGCCAGAGACAGCAAGCCGAGGAAAGAAAGGAAGAAAGAAGAATCAAGAGGATAGGAATATACGTCTATTCCAGACCAACAGAACAAGACCATTGAAATGGAAGCCCCATACCCAATGGCAACCCAACAGATCCAATTCTACCAGTACCGGCCCGACTCGGACGCACGGCATAATGCTGTGTTCACACCCATGCCAACAGAGCAGCCTGCGTATAGCCCCATGGCTGGGTATCCTCACCATCAACAACAGCCACAGCCACACCCGCCGCCGCCGCCGCAGCAGTATATGGTTCACCAATACTGGCAAGCGCCTGCTCACTATGCCCGAGGACACCCTCACGCCCACTACGTTCCTCAGCAGGTATTGACTCCTCGGGCCTCTCCACCATTGACGCTGGCCATGCCTATGCCCAAGATCTTGCTGGATAGCAACGGCCATATGGAGCATGGACACTACCTTGAGAGCCGGCACTCTTCACCACCGACTCCATGTCTCTCGGCCTGCCCCAGCACAGCCAGCAGTCCTCCAGCGAGCAGTGTGAACCAGACGCCCGTGCACGGCGCCGGGTACTTTAACCTGCCAATTGAAGCAAGCAAGGAGGAAATGCAGCCTCTGACTTTTCTAGATGACTGGGCGGAGAACGGACGTAAGTACCATCCGGTTTCGAAGTGAGCAATAGCAATGGGATGAAACACTTTCTAACGGGCTTCAGCAGAGGTGCACATTTTCCCGCATCCCGGCGATGCCAAGGCGGCGCTTTTGCCCAGTAACTGCACCGACTCCTTTCACTCCGCTTCTACCACTTCCACATCTACTACCGCCAACTTGAGCAGCTGCCCTTCACCTTCTTTAGCCCCCGCGTCTCCTCAATCTCAAGTCTCACCCGCGGCCTATCCTGTAGCGGAATTTGTCAACCTCCGAGATTTGACATCGATTTCGCTTGAACCCGTCATTTCTGCGCCTGTTCAGAGTTTCCCTCCTTTGCCTACTTTGTCTGCCGAAGACGACGAGCACAAGTTTGCCCTCGGAAACCCGACCTTCCCCGTCACTCCCGAGCATGAAACTGCCGATCCATTCACTCTCGTCGAGAATCCTTCATTTGAAACCTCTTTCTGCACCGAGTTGGACTCGGAAGACGAATTCAGCTTCGTCAACTTTACCGACCCGGAGATTGCCTACAACGGCGACAAGAGGCTGAAATTGTCGATTGGTGAAGAGGAGGACTTCCTCAGCGTACACAGTTTTGGCAGCTTTGATGAGGACGACCACGCTGCCCACGCCGGCCTGCTCTCTCCTGCCTCGTCCTCCGATTCAGGCTCGTGCTGCGCACCCAAGAAGAAGGCTCAGCGCAAGATGAAGCGCAACGGCTCGACCGACAGTGATTTGGAATTCCAAACCTTCACTCAGTCGGATGCCCACATCAACAGCCATGCCGACGGTCAAAGCACTTCCGAGGCCACCCCTCAGGAACAGCAAAGCACCAACGAGGACAACAGTGGTTCTGCCAACGCCGATGGCTCTACCCCATCGCAAGCTCCTGCCAACCGCCGTGGACGAAAGCAATCCTTGACCGAGGATCCCTCCAAAACATTCGTGTGCACCCTCTGCTCTCGTCGCTTCCGTCGACAGGAGCACCTGAAGCGTCACTACCGCTCTCTGCATACACAGGACAAGCCATTTGAGTGCAATGAGTGTGGCAAGAAGTTTTCCCGCTCCGATAATCTTGCCCAACATGCCCGTACTCATGGCAGCGGTGCCATCGTCATGGGTGTACTCGAGAACGGCGAGCTCCAACCTCATCAGCCTTACGATGAGGAAATGGGCCACGCTCTCTACGAGGCGGCACAACGAGCTGCCATGGCTTCTTCGTCCAGCAGCAGCAGTGGGTCCGAAGCGTCGTCCTCTGGAGAAAGCAAGCGTGCCCTGAAGAAGAGGAAGCGAGATGAATCCCTGTAAATATACCCGATTTGACCTCACGAATTACAAAAGAACCATCATGAAACCCCGAAATCTTACCAAAACAACTAACACAAAGCAACCACGACCGCAATGATTCTTATGATGTGATTCAGGACCGATACAAGAATATTTCTCAGGGATTCCCTCGCCCAAAGCACCAAACGGGGCCACCAACTCGGGGTCGACGAGACGGGAAAAAACCAACGCAATGCAGGAGCTCAAGAAAGTGTATGCCTATGGGAAGAAAAGTGCTTTAGAACCTTTTAACTCTCGCTTCAACTGCTTTTCAAGACCACTTTATTGTATTCTATGGCCTTTCTTGATGGGGGGGTTGGGCATGGGTGGCTGTGGTGATCATGGGGGGAAACGTATCTTTTTGCTGGTGCAGACAGACCGAGCTGTGCGGGAAGGGGAGTTAGAGGTCGACGACGACCGACCATTTTTTGCTTCTTTTCTTTCCTTCAGACCAATCTTTTATTGCCTTTTTTGATTTGGATACGGAACCCCAATTGTTCTTTTCCTTTCACACATTGTGAGCATGGGAGATGAAGAGGGATTTGAAGCAGGCTCCAAAGATGAGAAACAGACAATCGGGGATGAGCAAGCAACGTTACTAGGCAGCATTCACAGCCCGATTTCCCAGAACTTCCTGTACGTACCCGCCAGTGTGTATCTTTTGTACTATTAGAACTCTCGAATTTGAACTTGTTCTCCCTATGAGTGTTGGCCAGTGCAATCCATAAGGTCCATGTCACGCCGTTCGTTCAGCTTGGTGTCCGATAGTACGAGTGATGGACGAGTGTCGCAATGTCGTTCGCGCTTCGAGGATTTTGAGTAAAGTCCCATCCATCTATTTCCATGTATCCCTAGGGTTCCTTTCGTGAGGGCTACGGACTAGGGAATAGCTAGGTAGGCAGGTAGGTAGTGCATGCATGCACGCATGCCCACATGGCGACCACAGGGCTTCTCCATATGTACCTTCTATCCTTTATCTTGAGCTTCTACGGTATCTTGCAGCTATCGATAGCAGATAACGCCAGAAGGAGAACGAATTTTCGCTCCTCGTTAGGGCCTTGGAAGGAAAATTCTGGGGGTGGGTGATTTCCTTGATGGTGTAATCGTGTGGTGGGCGTAGTCGGGCGGGTAGAGAGAGAGGAACATGGGGCGCACAGGCCCTGGATAGCTCCTTTTCCTTTCCTTTTCCACTCCACCCTCTGTTTGGTGTTGACTCGTGGGTAGTCGAAGATTATTGCGACGGACTGCCTTTACTTTGTTTTCTTTTTCTTTTGGGAGCCCATGCGATTGGATCGTGGGGATGGATTTGTGAGGTACTTAATCCTCCTTTCACCACCTACCTATCTAGGTGCATCAGTAGATGGATTGATAGGCTTCAGCCAAGGATGGGGAGGAACTCATCACCCAACGGCCGGGAAGAGAGGGTGGAAGGGCGTGAAATATTCGTTGGGCTGTTGGGCTGGCATTGGTAGGTGCAGTTGGCGATGGAAACGAATGCGAAACGCCACGACGCCATATGAAACGCACTATCAGCAACAGGGGCACCGGGAAGGTTATGTGCGAGGTATATACCTCGTAGACACGAGTAGATACCAACCAGTAGGTGAGAAGGTCGGATAGGTAGGCGAGAAGGGATGGGGAGAGGACATGAAACCAGGCTAGTGCAGGGGGGATGCAGTTCTTGCAGAAAAAGCAAACCGCCAAAAAAAGAGAAGACACGGGATAAAAGACTCAGGTACTACCTTTTGCGAGTCGTGATGTAGGTTAGGTACGATGTCACTAATGCAGGCGCTCTGTCATGCTCACTCACTCAGTGACCTACTCTACCCGCCCACCTAAACACCCAACCACCCGGCCCAGCGCGAGGAGGCGCGAGAACCTCGCGACTGGGGACGGGAAGGGGAACGGGAATGGCGGCGGGAACAACAGGGAGAGGGGTGCCAAAGAAGGACGTGGCGCGACACATAGGCTTTCGGACTTTGGATTGATGACTGCCCGATTACGAAGTGCAAGATGCCATGGCAGCCATATGGTACATAATATAGGCAGGTTACTTAGGCCATGGCTCCCAGGCTTGGCCGGAAACTTGGCTTTACATTACCAGCGTGGACGACATGGAGAAATCAACCTCCATTCGAGATCAGGTATATATTGTTTCACATGATGTGAAACTCTCGCATCTGAATCTCCTCGCCTAACTCCCATATCCTGTCCTCCCCGACGTCCTCGGCGCCATGCATCATTCGCAGGGCGCTTTCCTCGTCTCCCAACTCCTCAATCATGTATCCATCCGTCATGCCGTCGAGAAGCACTCGCACCGCAAACTATGATGGCCGCTTCGATTCCCGTGATGGGAAGGATCTGATGACATCGCTCCCGTATCGTCGATGTAATTCAATTCCGCCATGATCACTGGGACACTGCAGCCCAGGATCACGCAGACCCCATATCCCAACATCAAGTCGCCGGGAACGAGACCTAGCCTTCCACCCTCGGTATAGATGGGCACTCGTCCTCGCAGCATTTTTAAGATATGTGCATTCTCCATTTGATTTCCTCTTGACTCTGTTCACGATCCTTGGCATCTTGGCATCCCGATTCTGGAACACGGGTTCGAGCAAGCTTCCCAGCCCCTTCATCTCCAGTCGAGTGCCGTCAAACCGACGGCCTGCCACCATTGCGTGCCAATATCGGTCAAGAAATGCGTGAGCCTCTTCTTCGTCGCCCTGGTCGTCACCAACGAATCTCTTCCTCAGATCATGACATCCCCATGAAAGGTCGGAAGGGGTAAAGCAGTCGATTTCGAATATCTCCTTTACAACGTCACACTCAATCCCCATGCATAGAGCTGCTTAAAGATGGTTGGCCTATTGAGCGCATCCAACCGCTTTTGTATTTCGGAATGCGATGGGGCTGCGCCGGCATTCATGAACGAGATGTGTTAGCTTCTTCCGAGTTTGTTCGTCAAAGGCAAACTTGCATTGGGGTCCGACGCTCCCAGAAGCCTGAAAGTGTGGCATCGCAGCAACATTACTCACCCAGTTGTCGTCAAGAGGAGTTGAAGGAGTCGTGGATATAAGGCTATTCGGGACTCCATAATCCCATTCCGGGACCCACGATGGCACGTCGAGAGACGAGTGAGGCCGCGAAGCACTAATGATGTCCAGACTTTGGCATGTCACAATCCAGGACACTGCAAAAGTGAGGAAGACATCGCTGACGTGAGCACTAGAGTCAATCTTTGGCACGAGGCTTCGGCCGTCGCTGGCCAGGTCTCTAAAGGCGTACCACCTGTCATGCTCTTGCTTGCACTCAATGGCCTCGAGCGTTAACAAGAGATCCAAAAAGGGGATACGGGTGCCTTGCTGCCGTTCGAGAAAGATGCTTCGCACGACTGGAGTAGTAAACACCGGTTCCCAGACGAATGTCTACCAACACAAGTGCCCAACTGAGACAAAGGTGCAGCCGATGGCTCGTTATCGCTCAGTGTCAGACTTGGGAGTGTTCAGGGCGGACCAGATAATGGCTCGGGCAAACCTCAGGGTAAAGCAGCCTTCGCTCACGAGGATCGAACCGTATCTGGCAAATAGGATTTTTCGTTCGGGAGTCATCGAGGCGCCTACCTAGGTAGATGGGTAGGTCGTTAGGTAGGCTCACCGCGGAGGCCTGGCCCCTACAGTATGAACGTTCCTATCTATGTTGTAGTTAGTGAGCAAGCGACCGAGCGTGTCAGCCAGCCAGCCAGTCCAAAGGACGCGTGCTGTCTTACTTCGCTCACATACTCCATATGTACATCCTTCCCGCCCAATCATAAATGCATGAATCTCTGTGAGGCGTTCACAACAGGGGAAAATAGGAAGGTGGATAATGGCGTGGGCTTTGGAGTGGAAGTTTTGAATCGTCCGGCCAACTATCAATATGTCCGCGTTGACACGGTACAGTGTGCCCTGGTCCAATCCCTACTCCTAATACCTCATCAACGTCACCGCTTAGCTCATTCTCCAAGGGCACAAGGTTCGCTGTTCTTCGCCATTTTGCCGCCGCCGTTGCCGCCGCCGTCTCGTCGTCCAACTCCGTCCAGAGAGACTGAATGAATCTGCCTCGGCGCTTATGTACAATGAGTGGCTCAAATATTGACGCTTCAAAAGTTCCAGCTGACCTTTGCAAAACACGGACACACGGACAGAACGCGTGGGCTTGATTTAATTTGCGCGTGCTCCCTGGACTTACCTCAGCCTCGCCCAGCTTCCGGCGCGTATTCTCTGCAGATCAAGCTGGGAACCCAGATTCAAGATCGGCTCCGTCGGTGTCCGTAATGGGTGACTTCCATGTCTTCACACGGTTTCTGTGGATGGGTGTACTATGTCTTGAATAGCGCTCCCACTCCCACTCCCGCTGCTGCAGCTGCTTTTGGGAGAATCAGCCGCACATTGCCCTCGGGTCTAGTCTTTGATATTCTTAGAATCCACAGGTCGCGAAAAAAATGGTTGTTTTGGGCGGGTGCAAAAACTGAAACAGAAATAGAAACAGTGCAAATTCACTTTCATCGGGACTGCCTCGCACTCTGATCGACCCGCATGACCATTGCGACGCCAAGGGGCAAGGGCGGGTACAACGCCGCTGGTCCTTGGATGTCTGTGCCGAACTTAACGGCCGGCAGCGACGAGACTGCCAGGTTGTTAGCCGCAGCTGGACTGGAAACCCCTCCAGAGCTTCCAAACAACGAGTTGCACGGTATGGCTGCTAGATTTCCGAGGAGGTGCCCTCTCCTCATCCGAGACCATTCCTCTTGAGCCTGCAACGTGATGAAAGCGGTGCCGTGGACTAGTTCTGCAGGGCTGAAGGACGAATTTTCATACCCGCTGTCGGGCACAATCATGTTTAGAATATCGCTCTCGACACCAGCAACGTCAGCACGGTGACAGACCAGCGCCGTGATCAAGTGAACAGTTGTGCCTGATTTCCCGTATGGAGGAAGAATT